CTCCGGGCAAAAATTTGGAGTTAAAAATCTACCCAAAAAGTATTTCAGGAGCCTCGCCGGTGCAAAGGAGTTCATGCAATGCGCTAAGATTCTTCAGACTCAGACTTGCGTTAGAAGAAGAACGGAGCACTTATGGGTTACACCCGTGTGCCATGATGTTGACCAGTTGAAAAAATATAAACAAACGACACGGGGATTTGAAAAAAAACAAAAAAAAACAGTAGCGAGTGGTACAGTGCCGAGCAAGAGGGAAAGAGTTCGGAAAGCGTGGAGAGGGCACAGGACATAAGAGACATCTTTAGCAGGAAAATTCACATGACGAGAGAGCTGGCGAAAGACCGAGCATTTCAGATTGGCAGTGATAAGAGTTATACACTCACACAGTTACTGGTACCGTCGGATTTAAAACTCTTAGCTCGTTGCTGAAGATGGGGACTGATGACATATGGGAGTGTCCCGGGTGCTGTGATGTCGATTCTTAATTTGACATTCAACAACATTCAGTGATAAGAGCGATGTTCTGTTAAGGACCTGCTATGTGATCACAACGACCTCTGAGACTTAAACCACCGTCTTCGAACTCAGCCTATCTAGAATGTCTTAAGCATGTTCATTAGGTCACTAGGAAAGCATGCTTGAGTAAAGGTCCATGTCATGCTGTTTCTTTAACACGAGAATGTCACGTATCTATGGCCTGCACGTTTTATCGTCATGCATGTGTAATCTTATCTATAAAAGCGGTTGTAAAGAAACAGGACCTGTTCACGTTTCCCGGCCCAACTAATACTTTCTCAGATTGATCTAGATCAGAGGGGTGTCATTTTGTAATGCTTTCTTCGAAAAGAGTCTTTCGTGTGATCTAGGCTCAGGCTGTGGATAGAGGGATTTGGGTTAGGGCTAGTTCTAGATATTCTATGGTCGTTGTTGAAAGCTGTGTCGTCGTGTAGTATAGAACACGCGACATCGGCGCTGATGTAATTGGAGGCAAGACAACGTGACACCCCTCCGACGTAAAAGAGTCTGATAAAGTATGAATGAAAGGCCAGATAGAGTGTAAATGGGCCGGGAATCTTGAACAGCATCAGGAAACGTTTAAAGCACGGCTTCTCAACCCATTGGTCATGACCCCAAGACGGGGTCACGAAGGATTGTATGTGGGATCGTCAGGCAGTGGTGAGCTAAGAAATTTTTTTTAATGGAAAACACCATAAAAATCGCGTTACTGCGTCCTGCAGACACATACAAATCTATTTCAGAATTTTCAAAAAGTGTTTATGTCCCCTGTTCAAAAAGCCTGTTTATAATGTATAAGGTCGCGAGTCGCCTTTCCCCTATAAAAATGGGTCGCGACTTGACAAAGGTTGAGAACCTCTGGTCTATAAAAATGCTCGATGAAACTTGTGTACTTTGTGTCCGTTATTTAATCACATCTGTTATTTTCCGCTCTTATCTTCTCCTTCTAGGGGGCTGCGTGGCTTCTATGCATAGTGTCCGCTTCGAGTGCTAGATGCTCCGGGTTCAATCCCCGGTAAGGGTTGGGATTTTTTTCACGTGGACTTGGATTTCTAGTAATTCCCCCTGGTCTCTCGCTAGTGAGATCGAACGCGCGTGTGCATTGTTGCGCACATAAAAAATTCCTTGGCAGTTAGAAAACGAAAAGAGTACCTTAACGGTGCTACCATGGCAAAATTTTGAGTTAAAAATCTACCCAAAAATACTCCAGGATCCTCGCCGTTGCTAAAGACCCTGTGCACTGTGCTGAGCTTCTTCGGACTAAGACTTGAGTGAGCAGAATAATGGAGCACTTATGCATTCCTACACATGTGCCATAATGTTGATCAATTGTTCAAAACCTCAAATTTTATCCTTCTTCTTGGCGTTCACTGGTTGTAAACTCCAGCGGAAACTTCTGGTTGCTCGTCCACTTCTGGACTTTGGTCGTTATCCAGAACGTCATGAGTCTCTCGAAAACCGTACGACTGAGACAATGGTAGAATATATCTCATGTTAGCCACGCTGCTGCTATAATGGTGGAATATATCTCTCGTAAACTACACGACTGAGACAACGGTGGAATACGTATCATTTAATCCCCGTGGCTGCGGTAACAGGTGCTTTATTAATATCCTACCCCAAGTAGAGGAAATCCACAGGTCACGGGACAGTCTAATATTTTAAGGGGGTGGTAGATAGGCTGCATGCAGTCCTGAGACCTAGGCTGCAAGCACTTGTAGGACCTAGGCTGCTCTCTCTCGTGGGACGTATGTGGGTTGGGGTTAGGACCAGTTCTAGATGTTTTGGGGTCGTTAAAAGCATCAGAATGCCGGGAAACCAAGCCTTACCACCCCAAAAAAAAATGTTGGACTGTCCTGGGACTTCACCTGGGGTAAGATATTAATAAGGACCTAATATAATTTCAGGCATTAAAATTAATTTAAAAAATTAAGAAATCTTATAAGGAGGGGAAGCTATAAGTTATAACTGTGACTAGGTAATGTGCGCCATATAAAATGGCTTAGCACTGCACGCTACCAACGCTATAAGCCATTTATATGGCGCACGTAATCTAGTCATAATTATAACTTATAGCTTCCCTTACAACGAGAACTTTTCACAAGCGTTTACAACCGATGGCCGCTAGGAAGAAAAGTGAAATGTCACAGGAAAGTAACTCGTAGCCTCAACGTCAGTTCACGGAGAGTGACACATCCTTGACACTCCTGCTTAAGTGGCAATCTAAGCTGTTCCACGGAACAAGAAGTTTACAAACTATACGGGTCACTTTTCCCATTTCCGCAAATATAGAAAAGTAGTACACGATCCTTCTCAAGCCACTGATGTGTTGGGTATACAGTGATAGATGTATATATTGTAGATCGATCGGCACTCGGCGGGTTATATGATCAGCATCATGCCGACCTCCTTTACTTTCATTGTTAGTTCCTGGCACCTACTAGGGGAAGTCAATAACTAAGTCACAAATGGTTATGGGATGGCAAGAAATTGTAATTGGTGACTTCTAAAGGGGTCATTAGGCGACAGTAAAATCGAACTTTATGTCTCCATTTGTTAGGTAGCGCTAGCTGTTGCATGCGCATTCGCAACACATACACAATATGGCGACTGTACTTAAGGAGTGTGCCCTCAAAAAAAAAAAAAAACGTGCTGTTGTGAGGTAGGGTTTTTTTTGGGAGGGGGGGGGGGGCTGCAAAGGACATTCATAAAGAAATGCTTCCTGTTAATGCCGACAAATATTTATCCCGTAAAGCAGTGCATAGCTGGGCAAATCTCAAGGACGCTCTAGAATTTTTGATAAAGTCCGATCTGTTCGTCTTGGTGAGATTGTCACAGACGCAGACGTGCAGCTGGTGGGGGAGATGATTAGAGGTGACAGGCGAGTAACGGTTGACTCTGTAGCAGCTGCAATATGGTGCTCACATGGTTCAGCATACAACATAATGCATGATCGATTGAAATTTAAGAAAGTGTGCTTAAGGTGGGTCCTAGACAATTGACGGACTAACACAAAATGAACCTATCAAGCCTGGCTCTCAGGTCAACCCAACCCTAAATGGGTACCAGGTAAAGTCATGGGAAGTAAATTCGGCCGTCGTGATATTGACCACATCACTAAAGCAGTGTCGAAGGTCTATAAAATATTGGTCTAGCCCTATATGCCCAATACACCTGAAGGCATGGAAAGGGTTCACTTTATTAGGATAAAAAAAAAGTAATGCGACAGCTTGCTGGGATTAAACGAGTTAAAAATCCGCCCGTGCCAATAGTTAAAAGCAAGACCTTTGGGCCGGCCGACAGACAGACAGACAGACAGACAGACAGACAGACAGACAGACAGACAGACAGATAGATAGATAGATAGATAGATAGATAGATAGATAGATAGATAGATAGATAGATAGATAGATAGATAGATAGATAGATAGATAGATAGATAGATAGATAGATAGATAGATAGATAGATAGATAGATAGATAGATAGATAGATAGATAGATAGATAGATAGATAGATAGATAGATAGATAGATAGATAGATAGATAGATAGATAGATAGATAGATAGATAGATAGATAGATAGATAGATAGACAGATAGACTGGAAGGTGTAAATACATAGTTAGATGGACTGCTTTAGATAAATAGGGAAAGTGGTGGCTTGGTCTTAGATGAGTGAATGACGTTCAACATTCACCAGGGCTGCACAACTAGAGATTAACACCATGTGACACAATGTGCCACCATTCGGATAAGAATCCCTCAGGCGCAAGTCCTAGAAACGCAGTTGAACCTTTAGGTTATACTAGGGCCTTGACAAAATCTGGGTCGGGTGTTTTAAATAACTATAAAAAAATGGCGTCTCATAGTGAAACGGAGTTACAAGTCTTAGATCAATTACAGCAAGATCCCCCTGTGGGTTCCAGGGTCCTGTTATAAGGGAAACAAGAATAGACCCACTGCCTACCCAAAAGCATGTCGTAAGAGTCGACTAATTGAGAGCTTCTTTCGAAGTCGGAGTGCATCTGCCTGAAAGGCAAGAAACCAACAGTCTGCATACAAATGAGTCAGATCTGTAAAAGGGATGCACACGCAACACTCAGGTTCTGGAACAGGACTGCAGTCCAGAAGTGGATGAAACACCAGAAATTTCCGCCAGAGTTTACAGCTGGTGAACGCGAAGAAGTAGAATTGTTGCAAGTAAATGAGTTATTGGTGATAATATGACCGGTCCTCATGTGGAACACAATTTTTCATTTTTTGAAGCTCCACAATGGCTGTAGCACGGGGGCCCTAACATAACCCAACCTATGGGTTGAACGGGGTTTCTGGGATATCTCTACGGGTGATCCTCATCCTTATGGTGACACTTTGTGTCACCGGGTGTGTATCGCTCGTTGTGATGTTCTGGTGAGGTTGAACATCAATTAATGGACTATTTGACATGTGGGCTGATCAGCCGTACTCATTTTAAAAACATAAACCTACCGTTTTCAGTAAACGAAATATACTTTCTGGGTGTTTTTGATGCAGTGATCCGTTTTTTCGTTTCAATGAAAACATATTGCTCAAAAACGCAAAGTAGTTCCACACAAGAAATAATCAATAAAAGGCTTCAACCGAACTCAAATTTTACATCCACAATTTCAAATACACTGTAAAAGTTTACACACAGCATATCCACTAAACAATAACACTGAGAAATTTAAAATAACACATATCCAGAATAAACTTAATAAACAAGAACATAACTTTTTTGAGAAATCCTTATGCTTCTAGAAACAGTATATGTTTATGCAAAGAATTAACTTTTCCAACAGCTAATTCCGCTGAACCGTGATGTATTATGTTCTCAAAGCAGTTCTGTTAAGCAGCGCACCAGTTTTAACCTTTTCATGTGCGCGAAAACAAGTCCGTGAGATCTTTCTGTTTATGTCATGTCTGCAGCGCTTCTCGCCAAAGTTCGTGACAAGACCACAGGCCGTCGGCATATTTACAGTTGTGGCAAACGTTACAAATAAGCAGGCGTTAACTTCATGAAAATGTTCTGTTTTACTGCTACCTGTTTTGAGTCTTAGAAGATAAGTAGATAACGTATACTCCAGAGGAGTAGTTCTCAAACGCGAGTGTATGTCAGGGGTGTAGTTCTCAAACGCGAGTGTATGTCAGGGGTGCCGCTGCAAAAATCAAACATTTTTCAAAATCTGCCTGAGATCAGTAAAGACAACAGTTTACAACAGAAATACAATGAAGGAAGCCAAGAAGAGTTCTGCATGCAGGTGCATTCGGAAAACAGTGCTATTGGTAAGGTTGAGGTGCACTCTCAACGTACGCTAAAACAGATACAGGAGCAATCTTCAAGTAATGTAAGGGTTCAGATAACTAAACTTCGCATAAACATATAGGAAATAATGACAAAAATTTTTAACAGTTTCATTCATCGCATTAAAGACAACTGAACATTACATTTGTACTGTTTTCTTCTTCTCCACCCCCCCCCCTCCCCAGAATTTCCGCTTTAAGGGTAGGTGTGCCGCGAAAAAATGTTTTCCCGACAAGGGTGTCGCGGCGAAAAAATGTTTTCCCGACAAGGGTGTTGCAGCGAAAAAATGTTTTCCCGACAAGGGTGTCGCGGCGAAAAAAAATGTTTTCCCGACAAGGGTGTCGCGGCGAAAAAAATGTTTTCCCGACAAGGGTGTCGCGGCGAAAAAATGTTTTCCCGACAAGGGTGTCGCGGCGAAAAAATGTTTTCCCGACAAGGGTGTCGCGGCGAAAAAAATGGTTTGAGCACCTCTGTTCTAGAGCAGTGTGCCTCCTCATAACTAACGCGTACGATGCCTCACTAGCTTTGCAGGAATCACACAGACGCTCATCATTATCACCAGGGGCCTTGCCAACTAGCGTGGGCGATCATGCCTCTCCACAACCTGCGATCTCCTGCAGCATTTATCAGTTTGTGTGCCGACACACCTCCATTCCATGCAACAAGACTGTCAAGCATCTTCTCTCGTCTTTCTCTATCCCTCTTTTCACAGATCTTTCCAGTGGTCTATTTTCCCTCTTCTCATAACATGGCCGAAACATGATGACTGTCTCCTTCTGATGTCTGTGATAAGTTCTTTTTGGCTGTCTAAGGTATTCTAAGCATTCTTCTGTAAAACCACATCTCTGAGGCCTTAAGAAATTGTTTGGCCTGCCTACTGATTGTCCAGGATTCACAGCCATATGTTAAAACTGGATGTATGTAGCAAGCAAGAATTCTTTTATAACTCTAAATGACAAGGATATATTGCACAAGATATTCTTCATTTTATGAAATGCAGTTTTTGCCTGTCCTATTTGTTTCTTATCTCAGTTATGCACTTCCATATGATGTTATCCATGTGCCCAGATACTACTGTACATGTCCCAAAATAACACCATGGACTTTTATTACACATTTAGAAATAATTCGTTTCTTTGATACCACCATTACTTCTGTCTTCCCATTTTTCAAACTAAGGCCCATTCTTCCACTTTCTAACACCACAATGTCTATCAATTCCTGCAATTCTTTCTGACTTGTCGCTATCAAGACTTTGTCATCAGCATAACGTAAATTGTTTATATTGTGCCCACCAACCACAATTTAGGGCATATTAGTTAAAGATCTCATTATATATTCACTGTATATAGACGCTACATGAGTTATTGTCCTGTTCCCACCATCGGCAACCGGGTCGGGTATTGGCTGGCCGGAAGACGACTTCGTCCCCGGTCGGGACAGTATTTGGGTCTGTCTCCTTTGATCGCATCAACTTTGCGAGAGTTCTTTTCGGAGCTAAGATTGATTGACGTTTAACCCCACCCGGACATCACAACGAACGATTAACACCCGGTGTCACAAAGTGTTACCATGCGAATGAGTATCACCCGGAGACAGGTCCCAGAAACCCCGTTCAACCCATAGGCTGGATTTTTTTTAGGTCTCCCAGGAACAGTCAGGGTGGGGATTTCAAATAACGAAAAATTGCATCCCACACGGGGAGAAAACTGTAATTCAGTGCTACTTGGTGGCGAGCAATACTAAGCCTTTTTATACGGCTCACTTAAACCTAGTCACAATTATAAGCTAAAGCTCCCCCTTCCGGAGATGCTGGTTACATGTGACAATTTTGTGTGTGTAGGTAAAGCAAGCCAAACCAAGCCTGATTCCCTGCCCAGACTACATGTTATGTAACTGTTATGTGCAGGGATATCATCACCATCAATTGCCTTGCCGGCTTGGGCAATTGTGCCTTTCCACAATCTGCGATCCGCAAACTGGGTGTGTTAGTTTGTGTGTTGACACCCCTCCATAACAAAAGGCTGTCAAGAATCTTCTAGCTCTGTCTTCCTCTGTCTCTCCTTCCACAAATCTTTCCAGTGGTTACAACGTTTTCCACTGTCCCTCTTCTCATGACATGACCAAAACATGATGACTGTCCCTTTCTGTTTTTGATTAGTTTCAAACATCTGGGTTAATCTTCTTAGCTGTGCAAAGAATTCTAAGGATTCTTCTGTAAAACCACATCTCCGAGGTGGCAAGATATTGTTCGGCATGTTTATTAAGTACCTAGGATTCACAGCAGTATGTTATACTGGCTCTATATAGCTTGTGAGAATTCTTTTCCTAACCTCCAATAACATGGATTTATTGCACAAACTGTTCTTCATTTTATAAAAGGCAGTTCTGGCCTGTCCTCTTCTGTTCTTTATCTCAGTGATACATCTTCCATCAGATGTTATCTATGTGCCTAGATACTTAAATTTCTTTACTTGATTCTCCTTCTTAAGGTGTTAAATTCCACAGACTGCAATCATATGAAGGTAAAACAACCTACCCTGTTACAGCATTAGACAGACAAATTTTGTGGTCCACCTGAACCTTTCCACTGCTTGAAGAACACATGCTCTATTGCAGCGTTTCTCAAACATTTCTCACAGCGGCACCCTTGTCGGGGGAAAAAAATCTCTACCCTTAAAGTGGTTTGAATACTTAGGTTAAAAATAAAAATAAAACAGCTAACATTTAATGTTCAATTGTCTTTAATGTTATGAATGAAACTGTTTGGGTTAATTTTGCATTTTGGGACTGGAATGGGGACTTACAAACAACTTGTATGCTACAAGAATGTTGAAGAGAAAGTATTACGATTTAAGAAAACAAACGTTAAGACTTTTTTAATTTTTTTTATGTTTATGTGAAGTTTAGTTAATTGTACCCTCAAATCACTTGAAGGTTGTTCTGTATCTGTTTTTAATGTAAGCGAACGTTGAGAACGCACTGCACCCTTGCCAAAAGCATTCTTTTTGAACACATCTGCATCCAGAACTCTTCTTGGCTTCCTTCTTGGTATTTCTGTTTTAGACTGTTGTCTTCGCTGATCTCAAGCTCTGGATTATTGCCGCGGCACCCCTGGCATAAACTCCCAGCACCCAATTTTAGAACCGCTGTTCTATGGAGTCGTCTAGAGCAGTGATTCTCAACTTGTGGGTCACCACCCTTTTGGGGTCAAATTACCCATTCTAGGGGGGTCGCCTAAGACCATAAAAAAGAAAACCATATTCACTGAGGTTATGAAATAGCAATGAAAATAATTTTGTAGCTGGGGGTCATCATCACAACATGAGGAACTGTATTAAAGGGTCGCGGCATTAGGAAGGTTGAGAACCACTCGTCTAGAGTAAAAAAAGCAGTATTCTTCATATATGTATATATTACATTCGAGGACCAGCAAAGCAGGATGGATTGTTCCGCGGACCACCGAACTGCTAACAGTAAAAATGTGTATTGTGCTTCATTGGCTAAATCCAATTTCACAAAATTACATTTTTTAGCTTTTATGACATCTGGTTGAATACTAAATTGAGAATTGAATCACAGCCCTCGGCACACTCAAATAAGTGCTCTGTTCGCATCTCCAGCAGCAAGCGAAACGTTTCAATTCAGATAGTACTAGTAACTATCTGACTGAATATCTGTTGCCTTTCCCTTGAGTGTTGAGTGCTGGCCAGATCCCCTTGTAACTCTTCACAGCACCATTCTCTTCAGACGGTAATGATCTATCTGTGCCTCCACCTGTTCACTCACTTCTTGCCTTGTAGTCTGCTGTTCTCATGTAGTACATTCTACTTGCTGGCTGATTTCATCCTATTCTGACTAAATGACCAAAACATTCCATTCACTGATGTTCTATGAAATTATTTACCACCACTGTGCCTATTATTTTTCTCAGTTCTGGCAAACTACTGCACAGAAAATCTCCCAGTAGAACATTAAACAGTCAACAAATGATGGAATACGTTTGTCGCATCCTGTACAATACATGGGGAAAGAAATAATGTTTCCCCCCATCAAGAACGTGGAGAAATGTTTTGGTCTTTACTAGCACCTACCAAAGACACACTTTAAGGTGATGCCATCAAGCTGATAATATCTGCTGCTTTCTTTATATATATATATATATATATATATATATACGTCTGGTTGTGAACGAAGAAAGAAAAAAAGAAAGACAGAATATGAAAAGGAGAAAAAGATG